AAAACTTCCAATTTTTCGCCGGTAGGAGCATGTCCTTTAAAAGGGCCCTCCATGAAACCCCAATGCCTGAATTTGTACACAATTTTAGGAGGTCCTGAATACAATTCAAGAATCTCCAATGCAAATCCCCGCGCGAATGTTGATTTGAAAAGTGTTTGTGAGGAATCAGCTGTTTCCTCATCAGGATCGTAGAATCTTAAAGATTTTGGCAAGGATGTCTGTAGAAACACGTTGTAGCTTCCCCCAATCTTAATCATTTCTTCCAATGTCAAAAACTTTCTACCTGTTTTGCATTCGACATTGTTAAATGCGTTTCCTTGAGAAAGTCTCTTTCAACGAGAAATTTATTTATTTATCACGAGTCACATCCAAGAGTGACTTTTACCTACGAGTTTTTATACTATTTTAACTTGCTTATTGGCCAGATCTCATGGGTGAACATTTTGAATGTGTTTATTAGTGTTATTATATAAGTGGGTGAGGTAGCGTAAATTATTTTTAAAACTTTCTAACTGTTTATGATGTTACATTCAACATTGTTAAATGCGTTTCCTTGAGAAAATCTCTTTCTACCGTAAATTTACATGTTAATCACAAGTATATTCTATACATGCAAACTTGATCCGTTCAATATGAGTTTAATATTGCTTGTGACACCATGTTCGACCTCTCTCCCTAACGTGTACTTAATTAACTGCCATATTAATAGAATTTTCGCCATCGTTGTGGTTGTAAAGAAAACATACCATTGACACTAAGTTTGAATTTCTTTGCATCAAGGGTCTTGTACTGATTTGGATCTGCCTTGTGTACCAGTTCCATTTCCCATGTCTTCACAAGCCTCTGCACTTTCTCTTCAGGTGATCCTTCAGGCCATATCTGCCATATACATATCCGTTGGTGTTAAAATTAGCATCAAATCGGAAAAAAAAACATCAAATGGAAAGTAACTTGGATTTTTAGGTAATAAATCGAAAATAAAGGTCGAAAACTGCATACATTAGTTCTCCCTTCTTCAAACAGCTGATTTACATCATCATAGTTTGGAGGACCAAAATTCCATTTGGTGTTTTTGATATCCTCTTCAGTCAAATAATCCCTGTACTTGTCTCCAGTTGCAGTAGAAGTTGCCATAGTTTCACTGAATTTAGAAGTTCTTGAAACGGAAACTTTAAGCTTGATAAGGATCGACTCTCATTTATTGATTCTTATATAGCAAAAATTTGTCACTTGTCAAGAAAATAATTATAAATAAAATTTTAACTTAACTTATTCATTCCAATAATAGCGCCTCATCAAATAGGATTGATTTCTTGACTTTTCCTTTATCTGTTGTCATTAGTGGGGGAGCCATGCGGTTGGCACGGAACCCTGTTTCAACAAGTTACTCTGACAATTGAAAAATTATAGGCCATAAATAAGTCAAAAAAAAGTTTTAAATATCATTTAACAGCTTTTGAATCTGAAACATGCATTGCACATATGTCGTGAATATTTCGAAACCATTCCAAAAACCTACCAGTGAGTGAAGAACATAGATCAAAAAAAAATCGAAAGTGTGACACCAAAACGGGAATCAAAATATAAGAGATAATATTATTTTATCCATTCCACATACCATCCTTGACTCATTATTAAACCCAACATTTAACGATTTTTCAATTCGAACGATATGTTGTGAACTTTACAGTTAATACTTCGAATCAGTACCAATGATCTACCACGACAAGGAAGAACATAGCTCAACATAAGCCAAATGAGATGACTCCAAATTGGAAACTTAATAATAATAATAATAAGATCAATTTTCTAACAGCTATCTTTGGCTCATTATTTTGAACTTTATATCGATCAATTGCTCAATCTAAAAGATGTATTGCGAGATTCACAATGAAGGAGATTCACAATGAATACTTCATAATTATATTACGAACCTGCCTTTGATTGATGAAAAGTATACTCCAAAAATAAGTCAAAGTAGGTGACTCTAAAATGAGAATTAAAGTATTAAAGATCGAATTATTAAATTCATTTCTAGTAGCCAACTTTGACTTATATATTATTTTCAACTTTTCATTAATCGTTTTTTAATCCACTCCATTAAAATTTCGAATGGTACCAAGAATCTACGCCCAAGAACTTGTGGTAGGAACAAGATTGTGCCCCCAACGACTAATGGACGAAACAAACAAGAATGGAAGTTTTTAGGACGGACCACACAGCTGATAAAACCAATAAGGTAGGTTGTGACCTCTAAAAGAAGCATTAAGCAAATAATTGAGCGTACTCAAATGTAATTATTTTTTAATATTTTATGATTGACATATGTGTGTATAAATTGTTTATAAATTTAGATATTGTATAGAGAGCTTTATAGGAATATATAAAAGTCAAATAAAAATATAATGGTTCCAATCCAACAAAATAACCTCCGATTCAAAATGAAAACCAATGAGATGAAACTAAAAACTCATTTTCCCTTGTCTAATTAAGGACATGTTTGATGTGGATTATTGAGAATTAGATTTAATGTAGGAAAAGATTATATAAGTCCACATGTAGAATTATATTATTGAGAAACTATGCAATTAAAAATGAGTTTTAAGACCAGATATTTTTACTTTTTCCAGTCAAGTTTATCGAACAAAAGATGAAGAAATAGAAGTAGAAGGTAAAAATGTACATTGAGCAGACCAATTGCCGAAGTCATATAACTATGAGTTTTGCTGTTTGTACATTTGGGCATAATAGCTCGGATGACAGCCCCTCACAAGAGCGGGTGTAGCAAAACCCTACAATTATACTTTTCTGAAAGACCAGATATTTTTACTTTTTCCAGTCAAGTTTATCGAACAAAAGATGAAGAAATAGAAGTAGAAGGTAAAAATGTACATTGACCAGACCAATTGCCGAAGTCATATAACTATGAGTTTTGCTGTTTGTACATTTGGGCATAATAGCTCGGATGACAGCCCCTCACAAGAGCGGGTGTAGCAAAACCCTACAATTATACTTTTCTGACGAAACAGCCACCCGCGTGTAAATTATTGTTAAAGTCCACGTCATTTATGTCATCAACTTCCTACTTGTGGGGCTGTGGCAGAGTTCTCCCAATCAAATCAGAAGACCCGTCCTCCTCTCCAATTTAATTATCAATCTCTATAGCACAGCCAGAACGAGATCAAATTAAATAATTAATCCGACATAATCATTGTCAGTTTTTTAGGTAATTATCCAGAATATTTAATTGTCACCAATTCTGTGACTTTTTTTATTTTTTAGGAAAAGAAAATGTAGTTAATAAATGAGCCGAGGGCAATTCTGTGACATTTTAATTTTAGGGCAGTTTGTCTAGAGAAGCATTGGATACTCTGTTTTTGGATCAAGAACATGTCTCTATAAAAATAGTGCGTACACTGCATTGAGAGAGAGAGAGAGAACATCTTTGATGTTAAGAAAATATCACTTGCAAGATAAGACGTTATTTAGATAAAAATCTTTCAGATTCAAATATTTTCAAAATAGGTAACAAAAATGATGAAATTGAAATCAATTCTTGAGTGAAATCAAGTCAGCCCAACTCTAATGGCTAGGAAGAAATCTCTACATTTTCTTATAAAAAGCAAAAGGAAATAAAAAATAAAAAAATCATATCGAGATTGGGAGCCTGGTATCAATAAATATATATTGTTGAAGTATATTTCTATTATTTTCGGAATATAATCTTCTCTTTCGAATAATTTGAAGATACTTGCAGATTACATGAATAAATTTGAAGAGCATAACAAAATGATCAACATGATCATAATTTCAATTTGAGATTAAGCCCATTGACTTAAGACGAATTTGCTTCCTACTATGGTGCTTGAGAACAGTTAACAATCATCTTCCATCATAGAACGAATTTCATTTCCTACGAAAAGAGCACAACAATCATTAGGAGTTCCAACGAACTCAGTATAGTGTGTTTATACTCGAAAAATAATATCAGAATTTAGAGAGGGAAGTGAGATTCAAAACAAGAATATTTGCAATGAAAAATTGTATAAATGTCCTAGCAGCAAGGCAGACTATTTATAGACTTATTCATGGTCATTTAAACACTTTATAAGCCTGTTCAGAACAGTGTTGATTGTTCAAAAAAACAAATAGACAGCTTTGTTCATACTAAAAGTAAGTTTCTATTAAGTTAGTTAACAAATGTCTATTATAGAAAAGCAGACATCGATCATATAGAAATATTTGATGAAACAAGGCAACGGTTGGGATTTGTATTACTGTTGAAAATAATTTCTACGAAATGCCCATAATTAATTATAATTTGACCCAAAAATTAAATAGATTTTGTTTAAAAAATATATGTAAGACAAGGAACATCGAACTCATACATGTGTTGTGTCAAGCTGAACAAATGATTGCGATGCTTTCGTGTGAGCTTAGGATCAAATCTACTAAGACCTAGATCTCCCCCTTCCAAAGACTAGTAGTACCTCTTAAATCACAAACCAAATTGAAATTTTCTTGCATCTATTCTAATAATCCTAAAAACAGGATATCACTAGTAGAAATTTCCTAATTAGTATACCAAGTTGACAAGTCCAACCCCACATTAACGTCACAAGTGTCCAACGTCATGAAGTCTCACAAACAATGTATGTTTTGCTGGTTTTTTTTTTTACCCGACTTTTTTTATTTTGACACATTCAAACTATATCTAAAATGAAATTAAAATGCGCGTGATAATATTTGGATACATTTGGTATATTGCATGACTAGGCACACTTGACATAATTTGTCCATAGTCATACCTAGTTATACGCTATACAATATACCAAACATGTCTTTGATGCCACTAATAGTTTAATTCTTTGAATAGTTGATTTTTTCATAAACGAGACTGACAAATTTTATATCTACTTCATTTTACTAAAGCTATGTGTTTAAAAGTTTGTAGACTAAGAGTCGAGAAATTATTTTTTTTCAAATATTGAATAGAGGAATACAAAAACCAGAACGACTATTGTCATAAATTATACATAAAATCCAACAAAAGAAATATAAATGCAGCAATTAATTTGAAAATCCTTAAAGGAATACATTTTCTACGGAACAGAATTTCTATCCATTCAATACATTCCTGATTTATTCATCTAACATAATTAACAAACAGTTCCTTTATTAAAAAGTTCATAGCTGCTGAAAAGGCTACTTCATCCACAATGCTATCCCATTAGCCAGACATTAAAGGGCAGCCAGAAGGTGTCGCCTCAGTGGAATTATCCAAGGTTTTACCCTTAATCAGACCGGCCAACAGTTCTCCACGATCACTAAAGAACTCCACCTTCACAACCTTGGAGTCTTCATCCAACTGTTTTAGCACATAAAAGAACGTGTTTAATACTCAGTAGTCGACAAAACAATGTATTAATATTGTCATGTATGTTACCAAACAAGGCACAAAAGGTGTAGTACACAATAAAACGTCTAGGATGCTATCCAGTGAAGAAGTTAAAAGGATATTAGTTAAAGATGAAGATAGAGTGATGGTACCTCAAAAATGCCAATCCCAAAAACTTCCAATTTTTCGCCGGTAGGAGCATGTCCTTTAAAAGGGCCCTCCATGAAACCCCAATGCCTGAATTTGTACACAATTTTAGGAGGTCCTGAATACAATTCAAGAATCTCCAATGCAAATCCCCGCGCGAATGTTGATTTGAAAAGTGTTTGTGAGGAATCAGCTGTTTCCTCATCAGGATCGTAGAATCTTAAAGATTTTGGCAAGGATGTCTGTAGAAACACGTTGTAGCTTCCCCCAATCTTAATCATTTCTTCCAATGTCAAAAACTTTCTACCTGTTTTGCATTCGACATTGTTAAATGCGTTTCCTTGAGAAAGTCTCTTTCAACGAGAAATTTATTTATTTATCACAAGTCACATCCAAGAGTGACTTTTACCTACGAGTTTTTATACTATTTTAACTTGCTTATTGGCCAGATCTCATGGGTGAACATTTTGAATGTGTTTATTAGTGTTATTATATAAGTGGGTGAGGTAGCGTAAATTATTTTTAAAACTTTCTAACTGTTTATGATGTTACATTCAACATTGTTAAATGCGTTTCCTTGAGAAAATCTCTTTCTACCGTAAATTTACATGTTAATCACAAGTATATTCTATACATGCAAACTTGATCCGTTCAATATGAGTTTAATATTGCTTGTGACACCATGTTCGACCTCTCTCCCTAACGTGTACTTAATTAACTGCCATATTAATAGAATTTTCGCCATCGTTGTGGTTGTAAAGAAAACATACCATTGACACTAAGTTTGAATTTCTTTGCATCAAGGGTCTTGTACTGATTTGGATCTGCCTTGTGTACCAGTTCCATTTCCCATGTCTTCACAAGCCTCTGCACTTTCTCTTCAGGTGATCCTTCAGGCCATATCTGCCATATACATATCCGTTGGTGTTAAAATTAGCATCAAATCGGAAAAAAAAACATCAAATGGAAAGTAACTTGGATTTTTAGGTAATAAATCGAAAATAAAGGTCGAAAACTGCATACATTAGTTCTCCCTTCTTCAAACAGCTGATTTACATCATCATAGTTTGGAGGACCAAAATTCCATTTGGTGTTTTTGATATCCTCTTCAGTCAAATAATCCCTGTACTTGTCTCCAGTTGCAGTAGAAGTTGCCATAGTTTCACTGAATTTAGAAGTTCTTGAAACGGAAACTTTAAGCTTGATAAGGATCGACTCTCATTTATTGATTCTTATATAGCAAAAATTTGTCACTTGTCAAGAAAATAATTATAAATAAAATTTTAACTTAACTTATTCATTCCAATAATAGCGCCTCATCAAATAGGATTGATTTCTTGACTTTTCCTTTATCTGTTGTCATTAGTGGGGGAGCCATGCGGTTGGCACGGAACCCTGTTTCAACAAGTTACTCTGACAATTGAAAAATTATAGGCCATAAATAAGTCAAAAAAAAGTTTTAAATATCATTTAACAGCTTTTGAATCTGAAACATGCATTGCACATATGTCGTGAATATTTCGAAACCATTCCAAAAACCTACCAGTGAGTGAAGAACATAGATCAAAAAAAAATCGAAAGTGTGACACCAAAACGGGAATCAAAATATAAGAGATAATATTATTTTATCCATTCCACATACCATCCTTGACTCATTATTAAACCCAACATTTAACGATTTTTCAATTCGAACGATATGTTGTGAACTTTACAGTTAATACTTCGAATCAGTACCAATGATCTACCACGACAAGGAAGAACATAGCTCAACATAAGCCAAATGAGATGACTCCAAATTGGAAACTTAATAATAATAATAATAAGATCAATTTTCTAACAGCTATCTTTGGCTCATTATTTTGAACTTTATATCGATCAATTGCTCAATCTAAAAGATGTATTGCGAGATTCACAATGAAGGAGATTCACAATGAATACTTCATAATTATATTACGAACCTGCCTTTGATTGATGAAAAGTATACTCCAAAAATAAGTCAAAGTAGGTGACTCTAAAATGAGAATTAAAGTATTAAAGATCGAATTATTAAATTCATTTCTAGTAGCCAACTTTGACTTATATATTATTTTCAACTTTTCATTAATCGTTTTTTAATCCACTCCATTAAAATTTCGAATGGTACCAAGAATCTACGCCCAAGAACTTGTGGTAGGAACAAGATTGTGCCCCCAACGACTAATGGACGAAACAAACAAGAATGGAAGTTTTTAGGACGGACCACACAGCTGATAAAACCAATAAGGTAGGTTGTGACCTCTAAAAGAAGCATTAAGCAAATAATTGAGCGTACTTCAAATGTAATTATTTTTTAATATTTTATGATTGACATATGTGTGTATAAATTGTTTATAAATTTAGATATTGTATAGAGAGCTTTATAGGAATATATAAAAGTCAAATAAAAATATAATGGTTCCAATCCAACAAAATAACCTCCGATTCAAAATGAAAACCAATGAGATGAAACTAAAAACTCATTTTCCCTTGTCTAATTAAGGACATGTTTGATGTGGATTATTGAGAATTAGATTTAATGTAGGAAAAGATTATATAAGTCCACATGTAGAATTATATTATTGAGAAACTATGCAATTAAAAATGAGTTTTAAGACCAGATATTTTTACTTTTTCCAGTCAAGTTTATCGAACAAAAGATGAAGAAATAGAAGTAGAAGGTAAAAATGTACATTGACCAGACCAATTGCCGAAGTCATATAACTATGAGTTTTGCTGTTTGTACATTTGGGCATAATAGCTCGGATGACAGCCCCTCACAAGAGCGGGTGTAGCAAAACCCTACAATTATACTTTTCTGACGAAACAGCCACCCGCGTGTAAATTATTGTTAAAGTCCACGTCATTTATGTCATCAACTTCCTACTTGTGGGGCTGTGGCAGAGTTCTCCCAATCAAATCAGAAGACCCGTCCTCCTCTCCAATTTAATTATCAATCTCTATAGCACAGCCAGAACGAGATCAAATTAAATAATTAATCCGACATAATCATTGTCAGTTTTTTAGGTAATTATCCAGAATATTTAATTGTCACCAATTCTGTGACTTTTTTTATTTTTTAGGAAAAGAAAATGTAGTTAATAAATGAGCCGAGGGCAATTCTGTGACATTTTAATTTTAGGGCAGTTTGTCTAGAGAAGCATAAGATACTCTGTTTTTGGATCAAGAACATGTCTCCATAAAAATAGTGCGTACACTGCATTAAGAGAGAGAACATCTTCGATGTTAAGAAAATATCACTTGCAAGATAAGACGTTGTCTAGATAAAAATCTTTCAGATTCAAACATTTTCAAAATAGATAACAAAAATGATGAAATTGAAATCAATTCTTGAGTGAAATCAAGTCAGCCTAACTCTAATGGCTATGAAGAAATCTCTACATTTTCTTATAAAACGAAAAAGAAAAAAAAATCATATCGAGATTGGGAGCCTGGTATCAATAAATATATATTGTTGAAGTATATTACTATTATTTTCGGAATATAATCTTCTCTTTGGAATAATTTGAAGATACTTGCAGATTACATGACTAAATTTGAAGAGCATAACAAAATGATCAACGTGATCATAATTTCAATTTGAGTCCATTGGCTTAAGACGAATTTGCTCCCTACTATGGTGCTTAAGGACAGTTAACGATCATCTTCCATAATAGAACGAATTTCATCTCCTACAAAAAGAGCACAACAATCATTAGAAGTTCAACGAACTCAGTACAGTGTGTTTATTCTCGAAGAATAATATTAGAATTTAGAGAGGGAAGAGAGATTCAAAACAAGAATATTTGCAATGAAAAATTGTATAAATGTCCTAGCAGCGAGGCAGACTATTTATAGATTTATTCATGGTCATTTAAACACTTTATAAGCCTGTTCAGAACAGTGTTGATTTGTTCAAAAAAACAAATAGACGGCTTTGTTCATACTAAAAGTAAGTTTCTATTAAGTTAGTTAACAAATGTCTATTATAGAAAAGCAGACATCCATCAGATAGAAATATTTGATGAAACCAGGCAACGGTTTGGATTTGTATTACTATTGAAAATAATTTCTACGAAGTGCCCATAATTAATTATAATTTGACCCAAAAATTAAATGGATTTTATTTAAAAAAATATATGTAAGACAAGGACCATCGAACTCATACATGTGCTATGTCAAGCTGAACAAATGATTGCGATGCTTTCGTGTGAGCTTAGGATCAAATCTACTAAGACCTAGATCTCCCCCTTCCAAAGACTAGTAGTACCTCTTAAATCACAAACCAAATTGAAATTTTCTTGCATCTATTCTAATAATCCTAAAAACAGGATATCACTAGTAGAAATTTCCTAATTAGTATACCAAGTTGACAAGTCCAACCCCACATTAACGTCACAAGTGTCCAACGTCATGAAGTCTCACAAACAATGTATGTTTTGCTGGTTTTTTTTTTTTACCCGACTTTTTTTATTTTGACACATTCAAACTATATCTAAAATGAAATTAAAATGCGCGTGATAATATTTGGATACATTTGGTATATTGCATGACTAGGCACACTTGACATAATTTGTCCATAGTCATACCTAGTTATACGCTATACAATATACCAAACATGTCTTTGATGCCACTAATAGTTTAATTCTTTGAATAGTTGATTTTTTCATAAACGAGACTGACAAATTTTATATCTACTTCATTTTACTAAAGCTATGTGTTTAAAAGTTTGTAGACTAAGAGTCGAGAAATTATTTTTTTTCAAATATTGAATAGAGGAATACAAAAACCAGAACGACTATTGTCATAAATTATACATAAAATCCAACAAAAGAAATATAAATGCAGCAATTAATTTGAAAATCCTTAAAGGAATACATTTTCTACGGAACAGAATTTCTATCCATTCAATACATTCCTGATTTATTCATCTAACATAATTAACAAACAGTTCCTTTATTAAAAAGTTCATAGCTGCTGAAAAAGCTTCTTCATCGACAATGCTATCCCATTAGCTAGACATGAAAGGGCAGCCAGAAGGCGTCACCACAGTGGATCCATCCGAGGTTTTTCCCTTAATCAGACCGGCCAACAACTCTCCACGGTCACAAAAGAACTCCACCTTCACAATCTTGGAGTTTTCATCCACCTGTTTCAGCGCATCAAAGAACGTGTTTAGCATGCAATACTAGACTAGATCGTAAAATAGATTTTCTTTCCCATTCATCTAATCAATCTAAACAAAAACATAGACAAGATTTTAACTTTTTTCATCCTTAATACTATCCAAATAGTTCGTTGGAACCTTGTAGATGTTAAGCAGCAATGGAATCGGCGGTAAAAAATGTTTTCTTCCTGGATGCTATCCAGTGTAGGAGAAGTTAAAAGGGATATTAGTTAAAGATGAAGATCAAGTGGAGGTACCTCAAAAATGGCCATGCCAAAAAATTCCACTTTTTCTCCAGTAGGAGCATGCCCTTTAAAAGGGCCCTCCATGAAACCCCAATGCCTGAATTTGTACACAATTTTAGGAGGTTCCGAATACACTTAAAGAATCTCCAATGCAAATCCACGTGGGAACGTTGTTTTGAAAAGTGTTTGTGATGAATCAGCTGTTTCGTCCTCAGGATTATAGAACCTCAAAGGTGTTGGCAAGGATGTCTGAAGAAACACATTGTAGCTTCCTCCAACCTTGACAATTTCTTCCAATGTCAAAAACTTTCTACCTGTTTACGATGTTACAGTAAAGACATTGTTAAATGCGTTTCCTTGACAATATCTCATTCTACACAAGTCACATCCAGAAGCGACTCTACACAAGTCACATCCAGAAGCGACTCAACTAATTTGAGGGCCTCTAAGGGAGCCTTTTATAAGAAGAAAAAAGAGAGGCAGTAAAACTCGAATGGTACATAAATTTTGAGGGCCTTCCCGACAAAGCTTCTTTGAGATTACAAGTTGATCTAACTTAATTTTTAATCACATATTTCGTTAGACTCATAATGTTTATTCACTTTTAACTTATCTTTCACGGAATCCACCATCTTATTATTTCTAAAAGCACGCAGACCAAGTTTTCGTTCCTTTTTAGTCTGAACGAGTTCGGCCTCCCTCCATAACGTGTACTTAATTAATTGCCATATTAATAAAATTTTCACCCTCGTTGTGGTTCTAAAGAAAGCATACCATTGACACCAAGTTCGAATTTCTTTGCATCAAGGGTCTTGTACTGATTTGGATCTGCCTTGTGTACCAGTTCCATTTCCCATGTTTTCACAAGCCTCTGCACTTTCTCTTCAGGTGATCCTTCAGGCCATATCTGCCATATACATATCCGTTGGAGTTAAAATTAGTACAAAATCCAAAAAACAACATCAAATAGAAAGTTAAACAAAAGGGTTTTGCATGATCGATGTATTGAAACACATTATCTATTTTCGTATTGAAACATCAGCTTTTTCCACGAATCATTCGTATAACTATAGAGTCAACTTGCATCATAAACTTATATTTCTAGATAATAAATCGAAAATGAAGGTCGAAAATTGCATACATTAGTTCTCCCTTCTTCAAAGAGCTTATCTACAGCATCATAGTTTGGAGGACCAAAATTCCATTTGGTGTTCTTGACATCCTCTTCAGTCAAGTAATCCCTGTACTTGTCTCCAGTTGCAGCAGAAGTTGCCATAGTTTAACTGAATTTAGAAGTTCTTGAAACTAAAACTTTGAGCTTGATGAGGATGGACTCTCATTGATAGATTCTTATATAGCAAAAATTTGTTACTGGAGGAGCCTTGTGTTTGGCACGGGACCCCTTAAACTTTCTCATTTCTCACCCTCTTTGCCCATATAAAATTGTTCCAACAAGTTACCCTGACGGCTAAAAAAATTTGGCCCAAAAATAAGTCAAAAATGTTAATATAAAATTTGAAATTATCATTTAACAGTTTTTTTAATCTGGAAGATGCATGGCAAGTTCGTCGTGAATATTTCGAAACCATTCCAAAAATCTACCGGTAAGTGAAGAACATAGATAAAAAATAAATCGAAAGTGTGACACCTAAACGGGAATCAAAAGATAAGAGATAACGTTATTTTATCCATTCCACATACCATCCTTGACTCATTATTAAGCCCGATATTTAACGATTTTCCAATTCGAACCTACCTTTAATGGATGAAATGTACTCCAAAAATAAGTCAAAAATGATGACTCTAAAATAAGAATCAAAGTATAAAAGATCGAATTAGTAGATTTATTCTCAGTAGCTGACTTTGGTTAGTCATTATTTTGAATTTGTCATTAATCGATTTCCAATCCAATATACAGATTTTTCAAAGGTCTCCATGAGAACCTACCACGAAGAGTGAGGAACAAAATTTGAAATCTTGTGGTGGGAACAAGGTTATGCCCCCCAACGACTAGTGGATCAATACAAGTCAGAATGAGGGGTATGCTAAAACAAATGTGGGGGGAAATTGCAGCAGTAGTCCCTAATCTTTTCATTTTTTGCAGGCTTTACCATAACCTTCATTTTGTGCCAACGGAACTTCCTAACATTTCATAAATATGTACCTGAGGTCCATCTGAACAGAAATCGTCCAAAACACTGTTAGTTGATTGGCAAAATTAAGGAATCAACATTCAATAAAACCGTCCAAAAAGGTATTAACATCCAATAAAATTATCGTGGTAGCAAATAGTTCAAGGAATTTGTCCGGTCAACTAACAGTGTTTTGGACGGTTTCAATCCAAATGGACCTCAGGTGTATATTTATAAAAGGTAGGGATCTTCGTTGATACAAAAAGAAAGTTAGGGTAAAGTCTGAAAAAAACAAAAAAATTATAGAGACTGTTGCTACAATTTTCTCTAAATGTGGTGTACTTTAGTTCCTAAGCAACTAATTGTTTATTATTTTTTAGTATTGGAGCAAGAGCATACTAGCGAAGAATTTGTTTAAACCCCGAATTCATCGGGAACAAGACTTAGTCCTTGTCTGAAAGTGATTTTAATCCCATTTTTAGCAATTTTTTTACCGTTGCCAAGTGCACATGGATCCCACTGCAGCCAAAATTATTGACTATCTTTAAAATAAATTACTACAAATGTCCATCTCAATAAGAATGAATTAAATGGTAAAGAGGCACGTAGGTCATTTTGCTTGATTTAGTTAATAATTGTGGTTGATATGAGATTGACATACACTGTATAACAGCAAAAAAATTGCTAAAAATTGGATAAAAAGTGCTATAATCTTATAAGTTACTTTTAAGAAATTTTTATAGAAATTAACATCATGTGAAAAGACTCGTAGATCGAGATATTAAAGCCGCCCGCGCCAGGCCTAATAATTAAGATTAAAATAGTAATTAGGACAGACCACACTAGCTAATAAAATAAAGAAGACAGGTTGTGACCTCTGAAGAGCACTGCAAATGCAACAATTCCGTAGTATTCTATGATTTAAATTTAAATTTTTATTTATTTATTTTTTGTTTGATATTCAGGTATCCCAACTTACACCAAACTAAATCCTGGACTCCCAAAATCCTTGCCCTTAGAACTTTGGAGGGGGTAAATCGCAGATCATGCCTCAACTGGATCACAGATTCCCCCCATTGCCTGTACAATTCTGCACACAAGAGACTCCCCTTCACAGTGATTGCTCCATACCAAATATTTGGCCGCAGGTTCCTACTAGGAATCGAACTCTCCACCCTACCATTGAAATCAAGACAATGTTGATTGATCCACCAGTTGAGTTATACCCGGGGGTCTGATTTATAATTTTATATGTACAAATTGAGGTATTGTTTAGAGGGCTTTACAAAAGAAATAATGGTTCTAATCCGAACAAAATAAGCTCCAACTCGAAATTAATATTAATGAGTTGACATTTAAAAACTCATTTTTCCTTTGTCAAGTTAATAAGGGATTATAAATTTTGTAAAAAGTAATATCTTTTGAGAATACGAGGTTGAGGTTGAGGTTGAGGTTGAGATTGAGATTTAAAAAATCCATATCAAACAGAAGTTGAAGTATTTTATTACTTTTCCTCGTTTATCGAACAAAAGTTGAATGAAGAAATAGAAGAAGATTCAATGTAGTCAAACCAGACCATTGGACAAAGTCATACAATTGAACTTTCCTGATATTTTAGTACAAGAAACAACCTTCCTCACGTAAATTATTTGAGCTATACTACATTTACAAACGTGGATTACAAGATTGATTGACAAAATAACATTTACACCGATCATTTCAAAAACAGATTTTTAAATCATTTCAAATCAACAACCTCGATTTTCTCAACACACTTTATAATCCAACTTTGTACAAATAACTTCATTGAAATTACTTTTCAAACCCACCAATTTTATTTTTTTATTTTTTATTTTTTATTTTTTTGCCCTTTCTCTACTTGAGGGCTTGTGGCTGCAGATTACCAGAAGAATATTCAACAAATCTAGTCGAAATTTTCTATGTAGAAATTCATGTACTTTAACCTCCATCTCACAAATTTATAAATTGATAAAATTTCATTTTCAATCAACGGCTTCACAATATAAATACTTTTCAAACAAAAATTCGTAGAATTTATTGCATAGCCAGTATGAATCGCATTAATCACACATAATAATGTCAGTTTCTAGGTAATTATCAAGAATATTCAATGGTCGTCATAAGATGCTCTCTATTTTTTCAGAATCTCTATTCTTTCAGATTAGGAGGATATGAAAGCATGTTTATCTCTAAAAAAAATATGCAAGAAGTGAGAAAACAAAGATCACTAGCAAGACGACTGTGAAAGTATTGGACTAAGTCCTATAATAAACACGAAAGTGCATTTAAATTTTTATTTGTATTATTTCTTTGAAATTGAACTTTCATAACAAATGTACTTTCGATGAACGAGAATTCTACATAGGCGTAAACGTTGAGACTGCACCAGAGATCATCGGATGGTACAATGTCGAGCCGCTTGTATATTATCTCACCTTCCAACCCTCATTCTGCTTCACATTTTCAGATATCTGGTGGAAAGTTCTATTTATCTTTAATATGAAATGTCTCGTCAAGATTGATGATTGATTCTAGCTATCATTCTACGCGTATCATTTCACAAGAATATGGTCAAACAAAATTATATTCAGTGCATAATATAACGAGATGACAGTATGTCTAAAACTTTTTACGCGAAAAATAAACAGACAAACTAAAACTGGTATAACAATGTACTAATCCATAATAAAGTCTGGCAACAAAGACCGAATTAATCATCTTCATGCATAAGAATACTAAATTACCTAGTGGAAAAGATTGAAAGATCAACACAAACCAACGCACCTCGATACAGATGCTATAGTCTTGTATACGTATTTTCAGACCCTGCACCAATGATCCCTAAAGGGCTCCAAATGAGAAGAAAGGCAACAGCAACACCTTACCACCATGTCGGATTTTCAGAACCTGCACCAATGATCCCCTTAAGGGCTCCAAATGAGAAGAAAGGCAACAGCAGCACCTTGCCACCATGTCTGGAAAACAATCGACTTGAATGTCAAAAACTTGGCCCAAGGTTTAAATCGTGCCAATTTAATCTTGGTGACAGAATAAGACTGGACAAGGTAGTATAAGGCCGAGGTCCGCTAAAACTCAAAAACTGCCAAATATGGATAACTGCAAAACATCGAAAAACTTTCAGATGAAAATGGAAAAATGTTTATTCTCTTCGCTAGATGTAACTAAATAACATCCCTAAATTGCATTGAACAGTAACCGTAAAATATAATTCAAGAGTTCACAGTTACACAGTAGGAACTGTAAAGCTTTAGAATATGACTAGATGGAAAAGGGTCCCCACTCAAACTTTTCTTCCTCATAAACTCCAAGAGATTCAAAAATCATCGCAAGTAAAGCACATATCATCTTTAATATTATCTGCGAAAATGAGAACTTTCACTTAATGCCAATATATAACAATAATAAAATAAAAAAGTCTCAAAGATGGTGTTCGTACATATTGAACAATGCCAATTTTTACGAACTGATAAAAGTCAGAGCCAAGCTGCCAATACCTGAGAAAGTAAATTAACGGAAAAGGATGTTCAACAACTCCATAAGCATATGCTTCATCCAGAAGAGGTACACTACTAGAAGTGAACAAGCTTTGACTTTCCATAAAGTGACCTGTAATTTCCTTTCCACCTCCAAGCGCGATACATTAATCACCTTTTAACATCTTTCTTCTCAGAAACTTACATTTGATTTCAACTTATCCTGAAATTCTATAACTACCTAACACTCAGCAAGACCACTCTGTTGCTTCAGTCCGATATATGACAACCTAAGTCATTCCTAAACCTACCACCACTGCATTAATTGGGCTTTCATCGACTCACAAGTTAGTCCATTGTCATTACTACATGAAAATCCTGTCCTTCGAGGGTGGGAAAGATATGATAAGGTCATAAAACACTTAATTTAATCATGATAGATTCTGCAGGCATCATCTGCAGACTAAGATTCAAACAGAAGAGAGATGTTCATTATTGCAAAGTATCTAAAGCTAGCAAAGAAAATAAGATAAAGATGAAAAAAAATATATTAGTGATTCTAATTATATTTTTACCTTGATATCAATAAATCTTATAAAAAAAATACTATTTTTCTCAAAGCATCAATGGTTCAACACACTAAAGTTTATCGTAGTTAAAGAAGGCTAAAAGAAATCCATAGTTAGGAATGAAATTAAATAAAAACACTACTCTGTTTCTTGAATAATCATCATTATTCAATACATGAATAATACAGAGGGCTAAACACAATGGCAATATAAAAGAGAACCCAGAAAATGTAGACATACCTAAGCAGGCTATGAGATCTCTCAAAGCAATACAGGGCAAAAGCTTCATAACAATCCTATATAATTTCATAGTTGAAAGCTGCATTTGAATGTAACAAAGATAAGAACAGTTCACGAAACAAAATAACAGAAATAAGAAATCAAAAAGGTCCTTGGTGGGAGCAGGGGGAGGGAGAAAAGAGAGAGATCAAATAGAAAAACCAGAACCTCTTAAGCACACAATAAATTACTCCCAAACGTTGTTAACTCATCTCTGTAGTAGTTTGAAATTTCTCCATAAGAAAATAGTATTATCTATTATAGTTTGTTAACAGGAAACCAGATGACGACAATTATTATGGAACAAGTTCTAGTAATTTAAGTACCCCACATTTTTTAAATAAGGCCTCTGGTGATGAAGGCCACGTATAACTTGCTGCTATCCAGTCTTCGGCCAAGTTTTTTCTGCTCAAACGGGTAAAAAATTACCGCAACAATTAAACAAAAGTAGTTCCTCAATTGATCGAGAAAAATGATGGTTTTTGTTCTTTCCATAGAAGTTTGTCATATAAACAAAAAATTGATAAAACTTCCACTACCAAGTATGATCACTAAATCAGGAAAAATGATTAAAAAAAATGAAATTCCCAAATTATTTCTCTATTTATGCAAGTGCATCAGAATGATCTTACCTAAGTGGCTCATAACATGAATTGTGATAATGCTCTAATGTCAAAAACAAATGGCGAATAAAGACAAAATTCAGTTAACATTACCGATCCCAGTGCATAAACAGGAACCATTAGAATGAGCTCAACTAAGAGTTTCTGCGAGAAACAGCAAGCCCGTCAAGTCTAGAACATAAAATAAGAGAGAAGAAAGGCACCCGAAGTAGAATAAAAGCAGTAACAATTGTTTTCTCATGTTTAAAAACTATTGGCAAAAACAATAACTAATTAGCAGAAAAAAGTTGCGTAGCTAAAGAAATTGGAAACAAATCTCAAGACAAAATGTCAACACAAACCTCAGGCTGATTGTAAGCAGCTAAATGCACAAAGTTAAGGTACATGGAAAGAACAAAAGCCACCACAACAAATATGGCTGCAATGCAGACTGCCTAGCTGTAGAGTGATGAGGACGCAGTGCTTAAACTGATGGGCCGAAATTGTGCTGATCTGCTAGTTGATTCACCCAAACTCGCAAGATTTAGTAAATAGACAAATACCCCCTTCCATCCCATTGTAGAATTTAAAAGCTTCTCAAGTCTCAACACATCAATGAAAATATATTGCTCTATTTTAAAGCAACTAAAGCCCTCTTGCACTCTTACATAAAAAACTCGACGGGTCATCCCTTGGAAGAAAAACAATTCAACTGACAAAATAAGCTTAATTGACCTCATAAAGTAATACCAACTAAATGGAAACCAATAATCTTCACAGGCTGGAATGGAACAGCCTGCACAATTGAGAAAAATCTGTCATGAAAGAAAAGAATGCAAACAAGCACCCGAAGATATTAACAATCCTAATCAAGCTCTACAAGTGTTACATAAGAGCTACCCAACAAGGATGGATGGAATAAGATATAAGCAGCAGGAAAAAATACACCAAGGTTAATATATTTCACATATGGGGCAGGCATTTGCAAGATGGTATCACTAGAACAAATAAGTTCTCATAAACTCAAGTTTCATTCCATCGTAATATTGACAAAAATCACATACAGGAAATTCAAGGTCGGAAATTTAAGGTCAAACCCCACCCACCCTCTATTTCCACCACCAAGTACACGACACAGTGCTCAAATTTACAGGCCAAAATTGTGCTAATCTGCTTGCTGACTCGCCCAAAGTGGCAACGTATAATAACGATATCAAGACTCCCATCCCATTGCAGATCTTAAAAAAATAACAGCTTATCAACACTGTTGTCGATTTTATCCCGCAAGTGGACGAATCGTAATAAGTAGTAAAGTGGACCTTTTGAGTCCGAATTATCGTTCCCACAAGAACTATTTTTTAGCACTTAATTCAAATTTTTTTTAACTACTATTTGATGAAAACAGATTATTAGTTGTATGAGTTGAATGATTTGGATTTTAATCTAAATTCTAGAAAATAAATGAATGCTCACTCAATTTTTTTTTTTTTTTGTAAAATCAAATAACTAAAAGACGTTAGGGCAGAATAATTTCACTCATTGATCACCTTTACATCTCAAATTAAGACTCAATTCTAATGTAGTATTTGGTCGAATTCTCTTATTGTATTCAATTTACCCCTCTCGAGTTCTCATTGAGTCATTCAACCAATTAAATTCCATATCTCTATGCAAATTTAGCTTAGTTAAACGATTTCTTTATCCTAGGAATTCAATTATGACCACAATAAATGACATAGGTATCTCTACTCGTTATACCAATATAATGGATTTTACTACATGGTCTAAATTTTAAACTCATATCTCTATTCGTAAAAGATTCACAAAATTCATCAAATTATTGATCAGATAATTTAATGAAATCAATCCATAGCAAAAATAACATATGGAAGAATTAAAAACAAAGAATCTTAATAAGAAGATATAAAGGATCTCAAACGGGTTACATTATTCACCCTAACAATGGATTTAACTACGCATAATAAAAGAAGAACACAAACAAATTGTCTTAGAATACATCACCGAATTTTTAATAAGAGAATGTAGAAGAAAAAGTGGATCTTGCACCAAGAGTTCCTCCTTCTTCCAATTTATGCTTCACACAATGAATTTGGTGTTGTCTTTTTCCTTTAAATCTCTCCCCCTTTATTTCAATAAATGTTCTTGCCTCTTGAATCGCTTCAATTGGATATCGGGAGAGAAAGTTATGCTAAAAATACTAAAAGAGGTGCGTGCTGTCTGATCGAAAAGTGGTGCCGCGACGCGACGTTGCATTCCAGGCGCCGCAGCGCCGCATCCCAGATGCGTTAGGGCACAACTTTGCTTCAGACATAATTCCCCGATTCGATCGTTTTCTATGTCAAAAACAGGTCTTAATGTGAGCCTGAAATTTCGGAGCATAGCTTTTCGGTTAGAAATTGATTTGTGATCATAGATCCCTTTGACATCTTTCTTCATCCAATTGACTCCCAACGCTCTTGAATCTTCATTTTGAGGTTCAACATAACTTTTGAATATTTGCACTTTAGTCCCCGAACTTTGGATTTCATAAAATTTAGCTCTTTTCTCCAATTTTGCGTACTTTTGCTTCTTTCCTTCAAATCCTTTTCCTTCATAAAATTTTACCTACTAAACATAAAATACAAACATTTAGGATATAATTTGTCGAAAGAACCATAAAATATCGCTATTTAAGGTACCGAATAAATGTATAAAATACAATTATCAAACACATCAATGAAGATATTATGCTCGATTGGAAAGCGTCTGAAGCTCTTATTGAACCGTCACATAAAACCTGCTTATAAGTGCTTCACTTTAGGCTGTATAAAACAATCATCCCTTGGAAGAAAAGTAACGCAGTTGACAAAAGCAGATTATAACTAACCTCAGAAAAGTAATACCAACTACTGACTTATTGATGAAAGATATCCAAGGCACAGAACAGATGCTGCCACAAATTCAAAAAAATGTGTCATTATCCCTTATCCCACTTGTATTAAAAATTGAGAGGTTGTATATGGTTAATGAATATACAAGAAATACAGAAAATCATTCGTCTTCAAATAATCAAAAAACTGTAAGACAAAGTCAATAAGGAAAGAATAGTCTAATTGACCATAGAAGAAGCAAGCTTACTTTGAAAAAGAACGTGTCAGATACTTATCATTCCTTCTTCATTCTGCATCATCACGTCTACCAACACAACCGAACAAATCTTAGAAAAGTACTTACTCTGGGTAAATTTTACTAATCCAAATGGGCATGCAAAAATGGAGATTCAAAACTCACTGGACTCAAAACTCACTGGACCAAAAACAATAGGGGCTCTGGAGATGGTATGGAAATGTAAGATAATATTTAAAACAAATTCTTCTTCAAGTGTAGCCAATCATCTATTCAGGAAAAAATAATTTGCGATGCCCCCAAAGAACAAGCACACTAAAAATCTTCAGTTTCATACAAGTGATTCCGCAAAAAAATCGTCCTCCAAAGCAGAACCCTTGCGAGCTACATAACCAATGTCTTTAATTTGTTCAGTCAATCCCCCCAACAAAAGATAAATTTCATTTTTTAGACTGTTGGAAGTATCACCAACCAAGAATGGGGAAAAACCAGCACCAATGTCAACCCAAGCACAGCCAGGATCTTTCCTCACACCCAAGTCTCTCATGAAGGTCCTTACTTCTGCCAGTTTACTCCAGGAACCAGCAGCAGCATACATGTTAGCAATCAACACATAGTATCCCGAATTTGGAGGTTTCATCATCAATAGATTTTCAGCAGCTCGTTCCCCAATATCTGTATTTCCATGGATCCGACATGCTCCAACAAGAGTTGCCCACATTTCAGAGGTTGGTTTGTATGGCATCCTCAATATAATTTCTTCAGCCTTTCTCAGTAAACCAGCCCTACCAAACAGATCGACCATGCAAGCAAAGTGATCCAAGCGAGGAGTTATACCATAAATAGATTGCATCTTTTCAAAAAGTATCTGACCTTGCTCCACAAGGCCTGAATGACTACAAGCTGATAAAACAGCAACCATGGTAATATCGTCTGGCTTTATATGAAACCTGATCATTTCATCAAATAGTTCGAGTGCAACTTTTCCTTTTCCTTGCAAGCCATATCCAGAAATTAGTGAAGTGTAAGTCACCACATCTCTCTTATCCAACAAATCAAACAGTCTTCTGGCAACTGAAACTTTACCGGATCTTGAGTACATGTCAACAAGAGCATTCCATATCAGCAGGTAATCCTTAAACCTTTCATGTTTAGTAATATAGCAGTGGAACTCTTTACCGTGTTGCAGGTGTGCCATACGAGCACAAAGAGGAAGAATGCTAGCAACAGTCACATAATTTGGCTCAATGTCGGTAAGCAGCATATCTCTGAATATAAAGGAGGCTTCCTCATACCTATCCCACTGTGCATAACCAGATATGATGGAGTTCCAGGTGATAATACTTTTAACTTCTACCAATTGAAACAAAATGTATGCATGCATAAGGTCCCCACACCGAGAATACATATTTATTAATGCATTTCTTACATTAATGTATTTAACAAAAAAATAACGAATTGCCAATCCATGAATTTCTTTCCCTAACGTCAGCGCACCAACATGGGAACATGCACCTAAGCCAATAATCATGGCCACTGGATCCAAGCAATTGCCATTCATCCTCATCTGGCAGAGCAATTTGAGTGCTCCCTCATAGTTACCTGTTTTCAAGCAACCTCCAGCAACGATATTCCATGTTATAATGTTTAATTCCACACCAGATGCCCGCATGCTTTCAAAAAGTTTAAATGCCTCACCCCATTCGCCTTTGGAGGCATATCCCGAGATAACTGAGTTCCATGAAACATCATCCTTAACTGGCATTTTGTCAAAGATATTTCGAGCTATGTCCAATTCCCCGCATTTCCCATACATAGACACCAAAGCATTCTGCACAAACAAATTCCACTCTAGAGAGCTAGCTTTAATAGAATTATGAACTTCCATTCCAAAACCAATATCTAATTGTTCACCACAAGCCTTAAGAACAGATGGGTAGGTGAAATTATCAGGTCTAATTCCCTTATAAACCATTTGTTTATATGCAAAGATAGCATCCTTAAAATGCCCTTTGCTAACGTATGAAGAAATAAGAATATTCCAAGGCAAAGGATGCAGAACATTTGAAGCTACAGTTATAATATGTGCGTCATCTAGAAAATTAAAAGCTGTGTAAAAGGTAACGAGTTTAGGAACCAATGCATGGTTTTTGTGAAGACCCCAAGCAATAACCTGAGTATGAAGTTGTTTTCCTTCTGAAAGCAACTTGAGTTTGGTGCAAGACAACAAAAGAGAGGATAATGAGTCTACAATAAGATCACAAGAAGCAGATGCATAGGCATGATTTCGAATAAGAGTAAAAGTATTGAAGGCTTTAAATAAATGACCTTGGCTAGCAAAATCTTTCAAGGTTATGAGAAGGCAATACACCATCGATTCATCTGGGATAGGTTGAAAGTCTATAATATTTTTGCAAGCATAAAGAGACTGAGACTCACTTTTTTTGGAAACATCCAATGGTTGTTTGATGCTTTGCCTCCATGTCCTAGGGATACATTTTTGAATTTCATAAAAAGGAAGGCCTGTTTGTAGCCTATAAAACGGAGAAGGCATACAATGTAGATGAGGAAGTTATATCCTTTAATAACACAGCAAGCAACAATTGTCTGCATGACTGCACACACATTTTTTCCAATACAGCCACCCCTGCAACATTAAAGATAAATAGAATTAGAAAGTAAAGATAATGTAGTCAAATCATAAATTAACAACTATGTAGTGAGTTCTATTTTTCACCATGTTTAACGATGCTTACTTAAAAATAGATTTCTGTTCATTTATGTTCTTTGCACTTGCAGCTCATCAAATAAAAAGCCACACACACACTAGATAACTTTAAATACTACAGATATGCAGAAAGCTTTACTCTATTTTATCTTCACAATTCAGAAATTAAACGCCTTTAACAAAACTTGAACCAAAAAACAGGTTCAGTAACCTGAAATTGTGAATTTTCCAATACATTCCAACTAAAGAATATAAATCCCCAATGATGAATTAAAAATCATAAAAAAGGAAATAAATACTGACCCCGAAAGCAACAACGATAAATTCTATGGAAGTTGAAGGTTTCTGTTTGTAAAGCTGTAAATGGTATTGTTTAAGGGTTTATGTGTAACGTAAAAAGAAAGACAATACTTAAAATTGTAGTTCATGTAATAAAATTCGTAGTGATAATATAATTACCCTTTGACTTATGAAGTTTCTAAACGCGGCCATTCCTCATGACGTGGTTTCCTTCGGTTCGTTCTAGGGTGGGTTAGTGAACATTCGAGCGAGTCCATCCGAGAGTGCTCTTTCCCCACTGGTGGTGGCGGCGATGGTGGTGGAAGTGCGGAGATTAGGAAAGTTCGAGGAAGAGACGAGGGGGTTAAAAATAACAAAAAACCTCCTTGAAGAGGCAGGGCCAGGGCCATGTGCGATGGCAGTGGGCCGAGCCGAGTCGTACGAGTCGAGGTCGGGCTCGATTCGTTGTTCATGAGCGAGCTCATGTACTCACGAGCCACGAGTTCATGGGCCGAGTTGAGCCCACAAGCGACTCACGAGCTCGTGAAATTTTTTTATTTTTGCAAATTTTTCAAATTTTATTAATGAAATTTTATTTTTTTCCACATTTTTTGACGAATCGGCGCGAGCCCATGAGTCGGCTCGTCCACGACTCGTTGGACGGGACCCCGCTCGACCCAAACTCGAGCTTTGACGAGTGGAGCCGACTTAACCCAATTGACATTCCTACCTACCTCCAGTACGGGGGCGCATAGCCCCTGTTTTTGAGCCTGTTCAAGGAGTATCTCTCTTCTCTAAAAATAAAAGGGAATGGTCAGAAATGGAAAACGGGCAGTCAGGAAGGCCCCTGTTTGGCCCTCATTTTCTAAAAATGAAAATTGGTAGAATAATATTTTTTTGAAAAATGAGTGATAAAAAAATAAATAAAAGTTTTCGATTTACGTGTAATATTATTTTATGAAATATTGTGTGATTAAAATTAAAAGAGAGAAAAATAAAATTTAATGGAGGTCAAACGGGGGCTAATAAATATCGAGTTTGGGAGTACTATGTGTTTATAATTTTACAGTTCCATTTTATTTTAAGGGGGGTTTAGGGTTCATAATTCATATGGATTTTTTTTAGCTTTTCTTGATATTAATTAATAAAAAATCCAAGAATAGATTGTTGTGTATTTTTTCGATTTTGCTTGTGATGACCATTTTCTAAAACATTATGTTGTTTCTATAAATGCGATATTACAATGATTTGAAGGGGAAAAAAATTTATTGAAATATTATGGTGAGATTCATAAATCTCTCTCAATAATTTAATATTTACCGAAACAATCCAACGTTAAAACTTGCTTACAGTTAAAAGAGTTATTTCTACCTTGACCAGCATGGTTTCAAAACAAGATAATAAATATCATTATTGTGATTATACAAAGAGTAAATACTATTTTAGTTCAATTGCAATTATAATTTCAATCTATGTGGGGTTAAGTGCTATATTAAATGATATGTGAAATTAAATAACTAATTTAATTATGTTTATCATTTAATGTTACATTAGTGTCACATATATTGGTTATAACATTAACGGGACTAAATAATATTACTCTTACACAAACGGTGAACATGTGGATTGCCCATGACTTATCTTGAATTGTAAAATTAATTCCTTAAAAAACTTGGGACTGTGGATGGCATAAATAAAATATTAAGTATAATCTAAAAAATAATGAAAGATTTTAGACCGTAACTGCAATTATTCTTTTCTAATTTTGACCTTATTTAAAGCTCACGAAGAGCAAATTTTGAGCCCATTTTTTAACTAAAATTATATTTAATCGGTAATTGATGGGAAACGTGTAGTTGAAAAATAATGAAAAGTTTTGAACTTACATGCAATATTATTTGGGAAAATTACCTAGATTTCTTCTTTTCAATATTACATTTTTAAATCAGGTGGGTGAAAGATTAAATTTCAATGGTTATGTGATAAATACTAATTTTTAAATTAATTAATTATATCCACCCACTCTACCACCCTTGAACACTTCTTTTACCCCATACCTCGATTCATTTTCTAACCCACACACACTCTCTCTCTCTCTCTCTTCCCCAAAAATTGATTGGCGCTCTCTTATCCAAAGATCTCATCAGTGGCTTCTTCCCCATCCCGACCCTTTAGATTCCGGCCAACTACTACTTCTCTCTTTGGAATTTCGCACAAATCTCTTCTTTGAAAGTTGATGAGCTTAGATTTTGGAAAAGTATCAATGCAGTACACGGGTCACCAACATGTTTGTGAGGAGAAGAAAACTGAATGTGAACGTGGGAACCATATGGTGAAGAACAATCAGATCTATGGCTTCTCTCTCATAATCTTCCTCATCTTTTCGAGAAATAACTGAAGAAGAATCTTGGAAATCCTTATTGAGAAATATTCAGTAATCAATTGGTTGGTTTTTTTTAAGGTGTTGATGGAAGTTATGGTAGTGATGATTGTTGTTGTGGCTTTGAGTTAAAGATGTTAGTAGTGGCTTTGGTTATTATTTTTCTGAACAAGATCTACTGTGGTGGTTAGAGATCTGGTTTTTTCTGTTTGAGATCTGATTGTGACTGTTTGTAACCCATTTTGTGTTAATGTGATCGGTTGTGACTTGAGATTGACCTGGTCACAAACGGTCACATTGAATACAAACTTATTCACAGAACCTGTATCAATTTATCCCAGACCTTGTATTAATTTTTAACCCACATACTCTGTTTCTTCCCCCAAATATTAGTCCGGCACTCTCTTACCCAAAAATCATATCTACGACTTCTTCCCCACCCACCATCTAGATTTCAATCACCTACCACTTTTCTCACCAGAGTTTCACAAGAGAAGTGTGGTGGTGGTGGTTGGTGTTTTTTGAAGGGTTGGTAGAAGTTATAGTAGTGATGATTGTTGTCAATTTGAGGTGAATGTAGTATTTATAGTCATCAGTTTGAGTTAAAGATGTTAGTAGTGGTGGTGATTATTATTTTTTCGAACAGATCTGCTATGATGGTTGGAGATATGGTTTTTTCTGTTCAAGATCTGGTTGTGATTGTTTGTGACCAATTTTTTATTGATTGTGACCGATTGTGACTTGAGATTGATCTGGTCACAGACAATCACACTGAATACAAATTTGATCACAATTAGTCACACTTGGTCACGGTGATTCTCAAATAACATAAATCAGTGAATTGATCACATATAACACATATATGGTCACAGATAACACGGTTACAAATCTGATAACTATAATGCACCACTATGACCATCATAATTTTTGGAGATTTTTCTATCACTGGAGCCGAAACAATCGGAGGAATAGTCGGCGAAGCAGTTTGCTGGAGTAGTCACCAGAGCGTTCGACGCAGCAGTTTGTCAAAACGATTGTCGAACAGATTGCTAAAGTTGTTGCCCGAGCAGTTGCCAAAGTGAATGCGAGAACCGATAGCTATCTCCGGTGAAGAGGATGAGGGAAGGTGGTGTAGTAGGGTGATAGGATGGGGTGAATGAGGTGGCATGGAGTGGAAATAATTAATGTATATTATATTATAGTCTAATATTTAGGCCCAGTTTCCTATTTTTGTAAAAAATGAGAATGTAAAATATAGCCATTACGGACCACACACAAGAGATAGAAAAATTGAGAAAAATTGATGGTTTGATATGATGGACAATGATCATATTTTTCATTTTAATGAGAAAAGAATGGGAAACAAATAGGGGCTTAATAAATATATTTACCACCTGATTTTTTAAATATTTCAATGAGTTTGTTGTTTATGAAATGTATTTTTATAACGTTGTAGTTAGGTAGTCTTCCCATATTATATTTATTGAAAAATGTATGATAAAAAAAAAAAAAAGAGAAATATATTTTTGTAATAATATACATCAAACAAGGACATGGTTAGGATCTATTAACTTTATTTGACAAAACTTTTTGAGCACTTTATTTTCACCAATGGCCATTGAACTTTGTAGTTAATTTCACTTGACCACTAACCTCTAATTTATTTTAAGGTAATTGGCACAAAACGTCCCTATATTTCATGTCTATCGTGGAAAACGTCCTTAACTTTCATTTTTTGATATTTTTGCCCCTATTTCCACATTTCTTAGCTCTAAACGTCTTTTTCATCAATTTTGGATAATTTTACTCTCCATTCAAATAAAACAAAAAGAAAGAAAAGTAAACAACAAATAACTAATTGCAATCACAGCCCCCAATTTTTAAAAAATTACAAATGACATCCAGTTTCTAATCCTTCTTCTTCAAGTGTGTGAAGAACACCATTTGACTCCAAAATTTGGCAAACAAGTGCTGTAAGTTTTAAAATTGAACGATCACCCAGTGTGTTTTGGGCTTGAATTTGAGTTTCCCCAGGTTGATTCATATGTTGGGACACATTAGACTTACGAATTGATGGAGAATTATCCTCTTCGCGCGGTCGCACATTCTATGAGGTCAAATCCAAAATTCTTGTTTTTGGTTGATGAACTAAAGCAATTAAATCTATATCCAGCATTGGTTGACCTTCAATTGCATGCTGGTTGATGTAATTTGTAGATTGGAGTAGTGGAGGGATGCCAATTGAAAGGGGATCAGACCGATTTCTAGTCGTGTTACTAATTTTGGACGAATACCCATTTCAATGCCAAATTGAGGAAGACCCATATGCTCAGTAGATGCGCTATGATAAGTAGTGTCCTGTAGTGGTGGTCGACGATCATGGGTCCCACCACCGTCGCCAGAAAATGACTTTGTCAATCGCGAGTTCGCTGACTTGAAAATTGGCTGTAGATCTCGATTTTCTGGGTTATTTGCTATAATTGGAACATTTATAGATGCATCTTGGTGAGCTCGAGCAACCTGTGGGTTGTATGGAACATGGACATCCACGGATTTGGTCAATTTTCAATAACACGGTGCGTGAGATGTAATTTTTGGGCAAAATTTAGCTCAATTTTGTTGGGATTTGGGGTTGAAATTTGCGTGGGAATGTTATGGTTGATGAGAAAATGGTGGTGGTGTTAAAATACGATGGCCTTGGTGTCGGAAATTGAGTTCCATGGTTGTTGGCACCCATGTTCAAAATTTTATTGATGTTTGGATGCCGTTTGTAATCTTTTAAAAATTGGGGCTACGATTGCAATTAGTTATTTGTTGTTTCCTTTCTTTTCTTTTTATTTTGTTTGAATGGAGGATAAAATTGTCCAAAACAGGTGAAAAGGACGTTCAGCACCAAAAAATGTGGAAATAGGAGTAAAAATATCAAAAATCGAAAGAT